GGAATTAGGAGCCGTTTATTCTTCAACATACGTTTCAGAGAGATGCATGCATCCATGCCTAAAAGCCGTTACAGCCATTACGCATTACCTCTTGTTATCGATTCAAAAAGATCTGGGGTCGGACATTCGAACCATGATAATTTTCGGGTTCCTTGTTTCCACTCGATCAATCTTTGTAGCTATTCGCTTTCTATCTATTTTGATAAAACATTGAAGGGAAAAAAAGGGCAAAAGCTCACCCCCAATCCTTCTTATCAGGTCACAATTCATCCTTCGTATTCGCACTTCTGCTCTTGTCGCTCTCCTTGGTTTCGTGATCCGAAGCTGGTTCGTCTTTTGGAGTTGAAAATGGTTTTTGGAGCTTAAAAGGGATCGAAGCATGTTTCTTGAGGAACTTGTAATATGCCACCACTGAGCGTTCAGCGTTCACCTTTATCTGCTCAAGTCCACCATTCAAACATTTTCACTTGAAGGATATGTCAAAGGTGGATGAATACAAGCAGAATTGCATATAGTTCTTACAGGATCAGAACTCTTGTTTCCTGCCGGGAAGAACAGAATCGTGGGGAACCCCGCTTTCTGCAAAAATAAACAACTTCTTACTATGATGTCTCATTCCAGGGTTAGCATTTGCGTCTTATCCCTTTTCGTTAAACAGGTTATTGCTTTAATCGTTCACACCACTTCTTACTATGATGTCTCATTCCAGGCTTAGCATTTGCGTCTTATCCCTTTTCATTAAACAGGTTATTGCTTTAATCGTTCAGACTGATTCAAATTTTACCCTTGCTCTGGGATGTTCATTTGTTGTCCCATCCATTTTGGCAATAACCAGAGAGTCGATTCCTTTAAGATGTTTGGCAAGCTTGTTGTATATTGGCTCCAGTGATCGGCAATGGCCACACCAAGGTGCATAGATCTGGTATTTGGAGCATTCATCAACAGAATAAGCTCATGTCAAGAAAGATTTAAATAACCTGGCATTTTCATATCGGACAAGAACAATACTTCCAGAAGGACATCCTTGGACTCGTCTAAAACAATTTCGTTGAAGCTATTGGCAACCACTACTTTCACATCTTCATCATTCTGTGTCAGATAGAATTTTTGGGAAGTTAGATTAAAGTCAACTTTGACCAGGTAAATCACACTAAAAGGAATATGCTTACAGTTTCGGGGATTGTGTCAGACTTATAGAAAGGTTTAAGCCTGTCTTCTAAAAACTCATCTGCAAAAGCCTACAGAAAGGTAGAAACACTGAAGTATACTCAAAACCTTTGCCTCTTACAAGTTTATTGAAAGACATAAGCAGCATCAAACAACCAAAATAAAGCAGTGAGAGAGAGAGAGAGGACCTTAATGTTATCCAAAGTTACATCTCCGTCCATGGCAAACTTCCTAGCATCTGTTCCAGAGTATGCAAGGATCTGCGTGATAAATGAACTGTGATTATCAAATTTGATGCGAATTAAGTATACAAGTACAACAAATCTACTCCCACCCACCCCACATCTTCCACCCGAAGAAAATAAAACAAACTAGCAGATCAAAAAGGATTAGAGCGACTTACTCTGGGACCATCTCCACTGACACCAAAAAAGTTTGCAACAGGTCTTCCGGTATCTTCATTATCCACTTGCACGTAAATAGAAATAAGCTGCAAGAAGTTCACAAGAGAATACTTGGTAACTACTCTTGAAGTCCTCATCAAAGGGAGTACACAAGTCTTGGGAAATATTATCATCAGTTTATTGGATACCAGTTTTTTATAGACAATTTGGAATTACCTTTCCCTTGAAAAGTTTTGCTGCTTCTTGGAATATTGGGATGAACTTTTCAGAAATGTTTAATGTGGCAAACAACAACAGCTTACAACCAAAAAATTACACATAAATTCTAGGAATGTGTCATTCAAAAATTCACAATTATGAGGGAAAGCAAAAATATACAACATGCATACGTGATTCTTAATTGAGCTTTCAAAAATTGAAGGAGCATTATCCCTGTTAAATGTCGTGACCAAAGGAAGCTTGTTGGAAATTACAAACTCAGATATTGCCGTCTTGACAAACTGACCATCTACAACATTAAAAAATAATGTATATGTAAGTTACTCAAAGCAATCGGGATCAAGATTCCAATCAGTATTACATATGTCAAGAAACTAACCAAAGTGGTTTATTTTTTCAGCCTCCCTTTTAACCAAGACCAAAGTTGGGCGTTTAACTTGAGGCTCAATGTGAAAATGCTTTGCGACATCAGGATTCACAGTTTGATAGACGCTGATATCATCCAAGAGTTTTGAAGCGGCAGCAAGCTCGTCACTCTCGGGACCCTGTTGTCATCATAGTATGCCAAATCTGAATTACAATGACACAAAGACTCCATAACCTTATAATTCACAAAAGTATGATTTCAAATCAAAGAATGGTGATTGAACCAGCAGGTATAACACACAACAAACTCAAGTAAACCTAATGGTAAAAAACTACTATATACACTACAAAAAATTTTAATAAACCATACCACCAAAGAGTTCAAGTAGCCCAAGACAACTATAGATCGAGAAGTCAAAATGCGTCCAGCATCGTCCAGGTTAGTAACGTTGAATACACCCGGTTCTATATTCTTCTTAATCCAGGTCAAGATCGCCTCCCTGAATTGTCAATGAACAACACTATTGGCCACTTCCATTTAGAAAAACAATTTAAATCTCCCATTAGACAAAGATAATTATTAATTACATTAAGAAATTAGAAATAAACAGGATTATAAAGTATAAACTAACTAGTAAATTTTCTGAACTATACATGTGATTAACCAAAAGCAAACTGCCTCATAATTCAATTTCCTTATTATAAATAAAAATGAGATAGCTAATCGAAAGCAAGTGATCCTGAATCTGTTTTTGTGTACATACTTGTTCTGAGCAGCAGGATAAGGCTTATGCTCTCCATCGACGAAAAGTTAGACAGTGGGGAATCCCTGCACATCGTACTTTTCTGCCGGGTCATCCTCCTCCGTGGCATCCACTTTGGCCAGCACAACTCCTTCTCCTTTCAAATCCGTCGCCGCCGCGGCATATTCCGGAGCAAACGCTTGGGAATGCCCGCACCAAGGCGCGTAAAAATCAACCATCACGTACTTATTATTCCCTATGAAATTACTAAAGTTTCCTTCCGTCAAAACGACTACGTCCTTTTCGTCGAATACAGGGATTTTGTACGTATCCGGATCGAGGTCGTGCGAATCTTGTCAAAACGACTACGTCCTTTTCGTCGAATACAGGGATTTTGTACGTATCCGGATCGAGGTCGTGTGAATCTTGTTCGTTCTCGGATTCTTCGCTTTCACCATTTTCGTCCACATCGCTGGGGAATCGATCATCGTCTGAATCACTCAAATCAGGGATCGAAGCAGAGTCGACGCTTTTGCCTTCAATTTCTTCAAGGAAACGGAGATCGTTATCGTCTTCTACGTCGTTCGTAGTGATGCAAGGCATGACAATTGACAATAGGATGAAGGAAATGATGGAGAGAACTAAAAAACACCGAAACCACGTCATTTTCCTGAAAGGGAAATTCAGGTGAGATCAGAGAAAGTGCAGAGATCTGAGTAGAATTTATAGCACGAAATGGAAGTGCACATAAACTACATCGATTTTCCGATTTTCAGTTTGCCTTAATTGTCGTGGTGACGTGAGACAATATTAAAAATATCTAAAATAAATATTTAAAAAATAAATTAATAGACACGTAATAATTCTTTTTTGGCATAACATATGCTAATTCTTAGTGTATTAAAAATGATGCTAACTTTGGGATGGATTTATAATTTTAAAAGTTCGAAAATGTTATGATTTATTTATGTTTTTAAATATATTTTTTCATATTATATATTACATGCTATGTTATTCATTATTTTTCTGTTCTAAAGGATGAATTAAGAGCCTATTCGATTACATATTCCTCAATTCGTATTCTCCGAATCTCTCCTTCTGGCCTCTGGGGGTTGAGTAAAGTCTTGCATGTTGTTTGTAATGAACCAGGCGTACTTCGCTAGTGTATCTGCTAATCTATAATATATTGCTGCTCCTTGTTAAAATCTTAAGATATACTTAATTGAAAAAAAGTTAAACATAAAATACTCATAAAAGTAGAACAATAACAATGAAATTTTTTTGAACAGGTGATTGATTATGATTGATTAATCAATCACAATAAATTACTTGATTCACTTTTCCTTATCTTTCTGGATCGAAAGTTCAGTTGCAAACTTAAGAGAACATAATTCATCGCTAGAAAGTTGAATCGTCGCGACTAATCAAGATGACACTTATTATCTATCTTGTTGATCTTTCTTGTTTTGAACAATCAAATTGGTTGGATACACGATTTGCATTCATATATAGTTTTCACACGATGTTTGGTTTTGTAGTCTTTTAATGTTTGATCTCTTGTTATATTTTGTTTGTAGATGAAATCAGATCTGTTCGTGTATATCTTTTGTTCTTTTTTTGTGTGAGGTTTTCACTTTCTTTTTTCTTATATGATCTCAATGGGATAGTTTCATGCGTTATTATAAAAAAAATGTTGTAATTATATGTTTATTTTGCGAATTTGATTATAATTTTTGTTGTAATTTTGATATTTTCTCTTTTTAATTAAATTAACTATTTTTATTATAAAAAAATTAGGAAGTGCTATGTTTGTAATAATTTATTAATTAGCACGAAGTAAATGATCTCAGTTGTAAAGGAATTGTTATTATTCCTTGAGGTACCGAGTTCGAGCATAAGGAATATCAAGAGAGCATTTAATGTCAAATGGTTGAAAGTTATATTTGAATATATATTGCCTCGTACTTACTCTAGATTAATAAAAAAATATTAATTAAATGAGCCATTTGTAAGTTTATAAATTTATTTTCCCTATTTACAAACATACTAATAGTTGAGTGATATATCTTGTATTTTTCACTAAAACTAAAAAGTTGTTTTAAGTATACAACCCGATGCCAAACCCTCTGTTTCGGTTTCACTTCATTTTCTTTCCGTCTTCTCTGCATTTCCCCTGTCTTCTCCCTTCACTTTGGGTAAATTTTGCCTACCTTTTGTTTCTTTATTCTCTTTGAATTGTTTGATTTATTTTGTATTAGTTTTCAGATTTCTAATTCAATGCCCTAATTTAGCTCCCTCAATTTCAGTTTTGTTTTGCTTGCAAAAATACCTTTTTAATTTTCAATGAATACTGTCTGATTTGTATATACCTCGGTGGTGGTGGTGTATCGTATACATTTTCTGTTTTTAGATCTTTTTGTTTTACTTTTCCTTTTATTAAAATTTCTCATTTTTGTTTATGTCTTTGGCGTTTTCGTTGATCTTGACTATAGGTCATTTTACTCGTTTAAGTTTTATCATGTTTCTCTTGATTGACCTTACACAAATTCAAACCCTAGTGTGATTTGATTTCAAGGCTTTGGTTTCCTTTGAGTGATAAATGTTGCTGTTTTGTTCTTAACGTAGATTTATGAAGGATTAATATGGAATAATTAAATGGGGATGTGTATTATTACTAGGGAAAGTTTTGGTAGATTTTATCGTTCTTTTTGGTTCATTATACTTAAATTCTAGTAAACAGAGGAACCGGAATTAACTGAAAGCTGAGAAGCAGTAGATTGAACAAAGTAAAAAAGAGAGGAAAAGATGCATTCTTTCTGGTACAGATTGAATGGCCTTCTTACATTTTCGGTGACAATCCTGGCTATAATGTGTGCCATCGCATCTCTCTCGGACAACCTCAACACTCCTTCTCCCTCTGCAGAAATTCAGGTCTATCTTCACTCACATGTGCATATTTGGCGAGGTGTTTATATCAATCTTTCTCGTATACCCTTTTGGATTCTTTTGTTATTTTATCTCTGATTTCTATTTTTTGGGTGTGACTGTAGGTTATGAACATAAATTGGTTCCAGAAGCAGCCGCAGGGGAATGATGAGGTAGTATTGTTTTCATTACCCTATTTTCATTTGTAATGTCGATTCTTGTCACATACTAAGTGTTTGATATTGTCACTGCTTGCCAAGGGACATCATATTCCTGTCCCACGCCCCCTTTCATTTAATCTATTCATTTGCTTAGTGTTCTCTTATTTTTCAGCTGCAGTTCTAAGTAAATGCTTTTGACTTGTATAGGTGAGCCTGACAATGAATATATCGGCTGATTTGCAATCATTGTTTACATGGAACACAAAACAGGTTTGCTTCTTCTGCGAAATCTATGTTTTACATTTTTAGAACTTCATTTCATTTGCTTTGTCCGTTATATATATTATCAGTGCATGAGATTATCTTTCTCACAATGGACTTCGGGAAGAATTTAATTCTGATGTATTTGAATGCTTTCAATTTTATGTGGCTGTGATATTTGTAGACCTCCCTTTTCTGTCAGTTCTTTTCTCACAATCATTCATCGTCTTGAAGCTGATTTTAAATACCATCTCCTTGCTGATCCACAGCTTTTCATATTTGTAGCAGCCGAGTACGAAACCCCAAAGAATTCTTTGAATCAGGTGAGGTTAAGTCCCTCTGGCTGCCTTACCTCCTTTTTTATTTTTTTGTGGCTGAAATAATTTGTCGTTGTCTTACTTGAAAATCTGTTAGCTCCTTGAATATTTATTCGCATGGTATTTTGTAGGTGTCCCTTTGGGATGCTATAATACCTGCCAAAGAGCATGCAAAGTTTTGGATCCACACCTCAAACAAGTATCGTTTTGTTGATCAGGTATGCGCATAATGACGAAGTAGCTTGCTTGTTATTCATATAGATCTAAACAAGTTTATTAGTGCTTTCATGCAATTGAGAATTTAATTTTTTTCTTTAACCATTGCTTATCTAGGGAAACTATCTCCGTGGCAAAGAATTCAACTTGACATTGCATTGGCATGTCATGCCTAAGACCGGGAAGATGTTTGCAGACAAAATTGTCCTGACCGGCTATAGTTTTCCGGAGGAATATAGATGAGGTTTTCTTGACGTATGTTTTGAGGTTACTCGAAGTTAAGCTGTCTCAGTGTGTGGGATATTATAGCTCAGCTTAATCATAGAAGTTGAGATTTAGTCTCCTTTAGATTGGCACATTAAACGTCATTTGAACAAGAAAGTTTGAAACATTGACACTTCAATACTTTATGTTTGAGAAAATTTAGGAAATGGGTATTTCTCAACCTTTTTTTAACATATTTAGGCTTTTGGTTTGCCAAACTTTTGAATTCAAAGCCCCGAATCAAATTATTCTTTAACTTGAAGTAAGAAAGAAGGTTCCAAAGAGTTCCTAATAGAAAATAAGATAAAATCAAATGTACGACTTTGATTTGTTTAATTTCTTTCCCACAATTCTTTTACAAAATCAATTTGTTTATAATGAGATTGGCGCTACTGTCAGTAAACTCAATAGAAGAATGATAACTACAAATGCATGGGCGGAGCTTATTTATCGCTCACCTGTGTTACAGCCCCAATCTCCTTGCCTGGTTCGAATTGCAAACCACCAATTTGTCTCGAATTTGTCCAAGCTCTCCAACGATACTTCTCATGGATGGTCGTCTGGGTGAAGTGATAGAAATTTAAAGAAAATACGGTGAAAAACAGCTATTCAAGTATGTTTAAAAAGGGAGCTTACAATGAAACAAGTCGATAACAATTTACATATGCCCATTGCCCTAACCACCAGAGACCAGACAATTGAGCACTGATTTCTTCCAAAGAAACGGACAGAAGCTGATGAATGAATTATAAGAGTAGGTGTTGCCATTTTTCTTAATACGTGAAGCCGAGGAAAATCAAAGAGAAGAATGTTTGACGCATTCCCTCCCTTATGATTTGGTCGTTTGTAAAATTTTTTCGGATTTTTTATTTGACGTTTGGTGATGGTTACGTCCTATTAATATTAAATCTCCATTACGGTCTAATTACAATAGTCAATCGAACATATCAAATCCGACATATAGTTTTATTCAAATTCAATTACTTGATACCATTTAAAATATATATTTAAAAAAACAAAATAATGTATGCTATTTACCCGGTCGTGTATATATATATATATATATGTATGTATGTATGTAGCCACATAATCATGTTTTTACCCGAGAAAAAAGCCTAATGGATCTCAGCCAATTTAAATTTGGGCTTTACATTTCATGGTGTTGGACTTTAGAAAAGGAAAAAGGGTAAATTACACGACTTCTCACTCTATTTTAATCCCTCTCCTATGTTTTTCACTGAACTTTCAATGTTTCTAATTTTCTCACTGTATTTTACAGATTGAATAATTTTGCTCACTCAGTCGTTAAATTTTTAACGGCGTTATGATGTAGCACATGAATCAAAATGATGTCATTTTGAAAAACTCAAATATACTCTAAAACGACGTCGTTTTGGTAAGTAAATATAAAATAGAGTAAAGTTTGATGACTCATGGTGTAATTTACCCTTTTTCCTTCTCTTCTCCATTTTCTCTTCGTCGGCCACCGCGTCATTTTCATTTCGGCCATCGTCGACCACTGTAGATGGTGGTCGTTCAATCCCCAAATGGGATAGATCAGTTCATCTCGACCCCCTGATTTCAGATCTAGTGGTTGTTTCACCGAAAAAGATCCCAAAACTCTTGAATTTGGACTGAAACATTTCGGTTTCCTCACTTTCAATCTCAAATTCGTGGACTTTTAAGCAAATTCCGACAAAGTGGAGTCAAATTCGAACTCTCGACGTCGAGGCGAAGCGACCCATCACATTTTGGGACCAAACGACCACCATCTATGGCGGTTGACGGTGGCATCCGACAACCTTCTATTTTTATTTCATTTTTAATTAGTTTATATTAAATAATAATAAAAATAGCCGTTAGAGATAAAACGGGAGGTGAACAAAATAAATAAATTTGTAAAGTTCAATGAGCAAAATATGAGAGAATAAAGTAGAGTGAGGAACGGTGTAATTTACCGAAAGAAAAAAGGTTTAATAAAGAAAGTACAGCTCAGAATTTGAATTCCGCAGCCAAATTTTTTCACAATGATCAGCGTTCTCGCTCAGGTTCCCAATACAAGAAGAAAATGACAAAAGGCTTAATATCTTCCTAATTATTGTTATATTTTCTCAATTGCGATATTTAATGAAAATACAGGAGCGTTTGCTTGGTGCCGCGCTCGGAACCGCGTTGACAGGGATCGTGGTATTTGAGCAACGGAAATGCATCTACGAATCGATTCCAGATCATCAATCTCAACTGGCTGCTCAATCGCAGGTCCTATTTTATTTTATTTCTAGCGTTGAATTTTCTGTTTTACTTTTCCATATGAAACCCTTGAAAAAGCAGCAGACAGATTGAAGTTCTTATAATTACTAAAAAAGAAAATCAAGTTTTGTGCTTATTTTTGTAAATTAGTTTTAAGAAAATCAAGTTTCTAGCGTTGAATTCATAACAATTGAAATTACTGTGCAACTGCTAGTTGCTGTTAATGCCTGTCTCCATCGCAATCCATTACACAATAAGGATGCAACATGAATACATAAAAAAACATGGTTTAGAATATGAAAAATTAAAGAACACACAAAACCTTTAACAATGAAGCAAAGTTTAGGCCAAACCACAAGTGATGATTACTGCACATACTAGAGGAAAATATTGGGCGGCTCAAATGAGAATCAAGGTCGGAATAAGTACGTGATTCTTAAGCTTTACCATCACAAGACACTTCTTGTGTATGTTCTACATTCAAAACTTGGCAACAGAATCTGACAAGTTAAACATTCATTAAGAAACCAACCACTAAACAGACCATGAAACACAGAATTCTTAGCCACAACATCCCAAAATAGACATTCAAAGAATCTCAACATAAAGAAAGGAGCTAAAAGTATGGCAAATTGATAACCAGAAGACCAATATGATTGACTTCCTTCAGCATTCAACAACTGAAACTCAAAAAGTATGGGACATTTTCCATCAAACAAAAAAAAAAAAAAAAACTATAAAACTCGCATTTTCAAATCATTTCTTACTTACCAAGTTAAGGCTTTTCATTCACTTCATATGTACGAAGCACAAGACTGTCATTTAAAAGTAGACAATATAAGCTGAAGGAACATAGATAAACAAAATCAAACAACGAATCCATAATACTTGAAATTATCTAAATTAAACTTCAAAAAAAATCTGAATTAAATATTCGCAAGTTTTTCAAAATCTCAAAATAGAACAGTTTTCATAACGACAAACACGATGATAATCGTAAGAACGAAAAGGACAAACTTTTTCACTCCAAAGGAACATCAACATCTCCGTCATCAATCTCCTGCTGTAAATCCTTAGGATCTTTCCCATCAACCGTACACCCAACGGAAACACACGTGCAAGTATCTCCTTCACCGTCCCTCTCAAATCCTTAGCCATCGACCTCGGTCTCATAATCTTAGCAATTTCAATGACATCATCAAGACTGATGTTCCCGTTATGCTTGATGTTCTTGGTCTTCTTCCTATCCCTCTCCGGTTCCTTCAATGCCTTGATAACAAGAGCCGCCGCCGCCGGGACCACTGTGACTTTAGCCTGACGGTTCTGGACGGTGAGTTTGACAGTTACGCGGAGACCCTTCCAGTCCTTGGCGGTTTCTTTGGCGATGTCTTCACCGATCTTTTTGGGAGAGAGACCCAGGGGACCCATTTTTGGAGCAAGAGAACTGGCTGCTCCTACCTCGCCCCCGGTGACGCGGACGAAGACGTCGACGACTTGGGTTGGGTCGAACTTAGCGGCATTTTTGGGTTTTTTCTTCGATGGAGGAGGAAAAGTTGGCTAGGGTTTCCAGAGATGGAAGAGTGAAAGTTGAGATAGTATAGCTAGGTTTTTCCAGTTTAATGATCAATTTAACCTTGATACAAAGTCTTGAAACATGAGTAACCTGGATGGATGCTTTCGTAATTTTGAGGATATACTAACTCGATTGTCGCTGAGTGTGAGAACAAAGATTATTTTCTCCATTAAAAGTTTTAAAGTAATAAATTAGTCACTAATGATATCAGTTTGTAACAAATCAATTCGATCGCATACACAAGTAATTGTATTCTCTTCAAACAAACATGAACTCCTTGTTTCAGGCAAATAATGATAACCCTGAAAAGAATCAAAATCAAAATATCATTCCGCAAACCACAAAAAGTGTAAAAAATAGCAAGGATTCATAATGTCACATTCTTTTCTCCAATAATAACTTCATTGAATGGTTATTTTTCGACAAGAGGCATCAAAACTTGTTGGTTTAGTTTCATGTTCGTTACTTCATAATAATCCCTAATGGCATGGTAAAGGAATGACAATCACTAGTATCCATTAGATTCCATGTATTCTAAGCATAAACTCTGATCATTTTCGAGCAAATAATATCTTACATTCGAAGACTTCACAAAACGAAAATTTTGAAGAAATTTTTGAACGTCTTCGTTTGGGTTGTAGTAGACTTGTCTACCCCCAAATATTTTGCAAACAAAATGGTGAGGCGTGTGAGATATTGATTGCAGTAAGACGAGTAAAAACAAAAGTACCAGTATCATATATAAGTGAAACCATACAATCGAGTGCTGCATTACCCTCACGATAAACATGCTGCACTCGCACTTTCCAGTTTCCATTTTCGCTATAGCAGCTGCTTGATATAGATCGGAACACTCTCAAGTGGCGATGCTCTGCCATATTACTCCTATGATCCTTCACAAACTGACAGGTTTTTCATTTCCATGATCACCCTTCTTGTAGATGCTAGACCAGAGCGCACATTCCTCTCACCACCCTCATTCACTTTCGCGCACCCTTTATGTGGTTTAAGCCATCATTTTCGGATGCATACAATTTGTGAAGTATGTATAGTTGTGAGTGCGACTTGTAAGGTTTAAGCCTTGAAGAATGAAGAATGATCCGCGATGGTGAAGGCGATGAGATTGGAAAAGATAATGGCCGTCAGTAAGATTAAAAGAATGACTGAAATTAGGAGATTTTAAATATTTTTATTTTGAATACAAATGAAAGAAGCATTAGGTAGAACTCTAATCCATTAGCTTCCTACCCCAGTGCCGGTAATCTCCTTGAGAGCCTCAATGCAAGCTTCAGGCGGGACTTAAAACAGATGCTTGCCAAACGGAAGAGCCCAAGCTAACTTCACCAGAATGTCCGCAACTTTATTGCACTCGCGTGGAATGTGGTAAAAAGATAACTCCCGTTCTCTGTCACAAAAGTCAATAACATGTGATAGCAGGGAATAATCTCCTTTAAGTCTCGAATTCTTAGAGACCAAAGCAATAGCCTCCTTGTTGTCCGTTTTCACTATCATCCTCCTCAACCCAAGGTCCCAAGCAACATACACTCTCTAAAATTCCCCAAACCTCCGCATCTAGAGTTGTGCAGCAACCAATTGGCTTAGCAAAACCCGACACCCATACCCCCCTGTGATCTCTAATGCCGCCGCCGCAAGTAGCTAAACTAGGATCCAACCTTTTAGAACCATCAGTATTAAGCTTGAACCACCAGACTAGTAGAGGTTTGCAACGGGCATCTGGTGATGGATTGCATTTATATTTGCCTTTGTCGTCACTCCTCGACTAGCCATTGTACACAGACGAGCATTTTCATGAAGAATACTCTTATAAGAACAGAATTCAGGCACAAAGATTGTGGCATTCCTACACTTCCAGAGGCACCAAATCACACTCAGGCTCCAAAGCCATGTGACGACACACACGTTCGTTGGAGAGCAAACTATCTTTTCTAATAAGCCATAAAAGGGACTTAACCCTTGGCAGCCCATGGTATTTTATTAAGAGCCTCTAAACGGCCTCATCTGCTTGAGCAGCAGAATGTGTGACAGATGTAAACACTCCTAGTTGAAAAATTCTTGTTCTTGTCCCATTTCCATCCGGCGATATCCGGGCCTCCATTAGGAGAGGGTGGTTCGACAGTCATAACATGGAGGAGGATCGAAAAAGGGAGCGCAGAATGCAAAAGATTCCACTCCCAGTCGCCATTGGAGTAAGCCATATCGCTGACCGTAACATGCTCCACGAATGATAGATCAAGGTTTAAACAAAATTGACTTAGAGGACTTACATCAGCCAATCAGGGATCATGCCAGAAGTTCACCCCGTTCCCATCACTGAGGGTCCAAACAAGGCCATTACGAACGTCTTCCCATACAGTACTTATGCCTTTCCATAAACGAGAGCACCCATTCTGAGCAACAGAGATCTGAAAAGGTCATTCATCTTATATTTGGGCCGGAATACTCTAGTCGAAAGTTGTCCATGCTGTGAAATAAGGCGGAAAGCGATCATCATTAATAAGGCGTCGTTTTGGTTCTGAAGCCTCCTAACGCCAAGACCACCATTAATTTCTGGCTTAACAACCTCCTCCCATTTGACAAGATGAACACCACGCTTATCAGGAGTACCTCCCCAAAGAAAACGACGAATTAGTTTCTCCATGTCGTTGCACGCTCCTTTAAGGAGTAAACATGTCTGCATAGCATAAGAAAGAAGAACTGATAAAACCGATTTCACCATCACAATTCACCCAGCAAAGGACAAGTGTTTAGCCTTTCCATCCAGACAACCTGTCACAAAGCATTTTGACGATATACTTATAAGTAACAGTAGTCATTATATTATTTTTAATAAAATAAACCAAATAGTTTTTTTCTCGAAATTTTTTTAGTCAAATATCTGTTTACGTGAGATTTTGTCCGTTGATATATAAATTATGAAAAATAGCAAATCGAATACATAATTCAAATTTTTTTAAGAAACATACCTGATATTTTTTAATCAAATCAATAAATTAACTGATCAATTATTAAATTTAAATATTTTTAACATAAAAAATCTCAATATATCATATCATAATTAAATTAAAATTTTAAATATAATATTTCATTAAAAATATTAAATAAAAAATATAATATCATCTTAGTAACTAAATTTAAGAGAGTGTCAATTTAGAACTGATTGAGTAAACTCATTGGTAAAAGAAAATATTATACGTATTAGAGATCACAAGTTCGAATAACGATATCTATATATTTATCTTAGAATGATTTCAAATTGATTTGTTCGATTCATAAAATACAATATAACATTAAAATATTATTTTGCAAATATTAAATATAATTATAATATAAATTATTTGAGTGTTATTTCAGGCAATTTTACCAAAAAAATACTCTAAACGTTAAATATTACCTATCAGACACCCTTTATCCAAATATTACCGATATGACACTCTTTCTGACAGAGCGCTAATC